CTTTTTCTTCTAACAGATTTAGTGCGTCTGATTTTATGTTGAGGTCTTTGATCCACTTGGACTTTAATTTTGTGCAGAGTGATAAATATGGCTCTATTTGCGTTTTTATACATATGGACATCAGTTAGACTAGCACCATTTGTTGAAGATGCTATCTTTTTTCCATTGTATGGTTTTGGCATCTTTCTCAAAAGTCAGGTGTCCATAGGTGAACGGGTTTATTTTTGGGTCTTCGATTTGATTCCACTGATCCACCATTCTGTTTCTAAGCCAGTCCCATGCAGTTTTTATTACTATTGCTCTGTAGTACAGCTTGAGATCAGGGATGGAGATACCTTCAGGAGATCTTCTATTGTAGAGGTTTGTCTTTAGTGATTCCAGGTTTCTTGTTATTCCATATGAAGTTGAGAATTTTTCTTTAAAGGTCTGTAAAGAATTGTGTTGGTAATTTGATGGGAATTGCATTGAATCTGTAGATTGCTTTTGGTAAGATGGTCATTTTTACTATGTTAATCCTATCAAGCCATGAGCATAGGAGATCTTTACATTTTCTGATATCTTCAATTTCTTTCTTCAGAGACTTAAAGTGTTTTTCTATACAAGTCTTTCACATGCTTGGTTAGAGTTACACTAAGATTATTTTATGTTTGTGTGTGTGTGTGTGTGTGTGTGTGTGTGTGGCTATTGTGAAGGGTGTCTCCCTAATTACTTTCTCAGCCCATTTGTCTTTTGTATACAGGAGGGCTTCAGATTTTTTTTTTTTTTAGTTTAATCTTGTATCCAGCCACTTTGCTGAAGGGGTCTATCAGCTGAAGGAGTTCCGTGGTAGATTTTTTTGTGTCACTCATGTATACTATCATATAATCTACCAACAGTGATACTTTGACTTCTTCTTTTCAGATTTGAATATATATAAATTTATATATATATATATATATACACACATATATGCTAAATAAACAATAAATAAACTTATTTATCTTAAATAAATAAATCTAAGAAATGAAAGAAATGTGAAGGGGCTGGAGAGATGGCTCAGAGATTAAGAGCACTGGCTGTTCTTCTAAAGGTTTTGAGTTCAATTCCCAACAATCACATGGTGGCTCATAATCATCTTTAATGAGATCTGGTGTCGTCTTGTCATGTGTAGGCAGACATACAGGCAGAGTACTGTATAAATAGTAATGAAATCTTTTTTTTTTTTTTAAAGAATGTCAAGCAGGAAGATTACTATTTTGAGGCTAGACTGGGCTCCACTGCAAGATCCTGTGCCACAAATAAATGCATCCTATTGTTTCAACTGAAGTTTACCTGTCTGTACTCACACAAATGGAGTCAGGCTGGGTGTGGTTGCACATGACCTTTAATCCCAGCACTCGGCAGCAGAGGCAGTCAGATCTCTGTGAGTTCAGGGTCAACATGGTCCACATAGAGAGTTCTAGGCTAGCCAGGATAAGAGAATGAGAACCTGTATCAGTGTCTTCAGGCTCAAAACAAGGCAGTGAGTTGAACAATCCTGTTTTTGAATTGCAAAAGGCCGAAAATAAAGAGGATTTGTACCAGAGAGAATTGCAAGGGTAAATGTGAGTGGAGAAGCATATGGATTGCTTTGGGAATGTTGAATTCCTCACCAAAGAACTATGGGAGCAGTTGCGAAACAGCAACAATAACATTCATGAATATTCGTGGAACTACAGATGACTTTGTAAAAAGTGGATATGAGGAAAATTACATTTTACAATTTCCCAGTAAATCACTTTATAATTTTCACTAAAGCATCCCATGGCCTTAGAGGAAAAGATTAAAATAGTGAGATTGACAGAAAACAATGTGAAATCCTGAGCATCCTTGAAACGAATCTGAAGGTAAGTGGAGTTAGTTAGACAGAAAAATAAATCCATACTTTATATTATGGAATACTTTATAAAAGAAAAGATTGGAGGGAAGGTTTTGCAATGTGCGTCATTCTTGCTTCAACAATTGTGTTCTGTTTCAGACTCCGGCCTTCCTGGGCAGAGGACTAAACATTTAGAGCCTGGTTCTAGGAACCACACTATGAACTTTGTCTCTTGTTGTATCTATTTTGTTTCTTTCTCTTTTACTTGGGTTTTTGTTTTTTTTTTTTGAAGGGGTTAGATCTTATTCATTTTATGTGTGAATGTTTTCTCTGCATGTATGTATGTGTCTGGTGCCCGCAGAAGTCAGAAATGGTCTACAGATCCTCTGGAACTGGAGTTATCGATAGTTGTGAGCCACCATGTGAGTTTTGGGACTTGAACCCAGGGTTCTCCTCAAGAACAGCCAGTGCTCTTGACCGCTGAGCCATCTCTCCAGCACTACCCACCATCTTTTAGTTCAAAATAGAATAATCGCAATGATGAGCTAGGTAGAAAATGAGAGTATGATGGTCTAGACAGCAGCATAGAGTGGACCCTTTCATAACCCACTGAGACATATAGAAGACTGTCCCACACACCACCACTGGCTTCTGAACTAGAGAAGACAATGAAAAATGGGAGTTATTACCAGACTCTTAAAGAGTTACAATTAGGGAAAGTGCATTAGCAGCAAAAATTTGGACTGGAAGTGGTGCCCATCAACATGGAACTGGGAACAAGTTAGAAGATTCCAAAAATATCCCTGAAAAGTGTTTACCTTTTAGAGCCAGAAGCAAAAAAAATAAAAAATAAAAATCGAAACTACATTATAGCTTTAGAAGATTGCTAGGAATGGACATGGGGGGTGAAGACCTTTAATCTTAGCACTAGAAAGGAAGAGGCAGGCAGATCTCTGTGAGTTCAAGGTCAGCCTGGTCTACATAGTAAGTTCCAGGGCTACAGAGGGAAATCCTGTCTTTTAAAAAAGTGATTGCTGGAGCTGAGGATGTAGCTTAGCTGCTGAAGTATTTGCTTAGAATGCACAAAGCCCTGACTTTCATTCCCAGCACCACATTAAGCATGCCTATACTTCCTAGCACAGAGGAGTTCAAGATTATATTCAGTTACAAAACACATTTTAGTGGTATACTCTCCAAAAGAAAGGTTTGCTCCACAGCGTGGGTCCCTCGGGAGGTGCTGCATGAGAGAAGGTTAGGTTATTGAGGGGCTTCCCTCAGCCACTCGTGTGGAATCCTGCTCTCTTCCTTTTTATCCTGCTCTCTTCCTTTTTCCTTTCTTTACTTCCTGGCTTCAAGCTGCTTTCTGGCATGATGGACTGCCTTCCTGCAGATCCCAATACAACAAAACTACTTGATCATAGGAACCTCTTAAGCAATGAAGCCAATTAAACTTTTTCTAAGTGGATTATCTCCAGTGTTTGTGACAGGAATGGAAAAGGGAGAAACACAGTAGACAAAACAGTGGAACACATCTCCCCATAACCCATCATGATACAAATGTTATTGATTTTTTTTTTTCTGTGAAAAAATAGTACTCTCCTAAAAAGAAAGATCTAATAGTCCAACCTGAGTCTTCTCATCTGCTAAGTAGAAATCTTGGAACCTACCTCAGAGAATCATGGTGGATTAAGATGAGAGCAGTCAGGCCACTGCTGTACAGTGACCAGTGTTGGTCATGAATACTTCTTGTTGGGTAATATTGAGCCCATACGGGAGAAGGAAGGTAGACCAGGATTAGCCAGTAGGAACAAAGTGATTTGTAACTTAAATCCGGGAAAGTATTCAAGTATGTGATTCTCATGTGTAGAACAAACAGAAGCTGCTCAAAGCTATAGAAGTTTGGGAATTCTTAGGAAAGTGAGGCAAGCCCTGGACAGTACTCAAAGAGAAGGGTCCAATGAAGTCTGAGTTGTGCATACAGGACTCCTAGGTGCCTGGCAACCCAGCGTTTTGATAGTACCGCTGTGTGTGTGAGGGGGAGGGGCGCTGTGTTTCACAGGAAAATCCAGAGAGAGACAGAGCCATCCGTGAGCTGTTCTGCCGAGGCACTTGGAGATTTTGCGTGAGCTAACTGGCTGGATAGAAAAACAAGGATTAGGACTAAAAAATCCAGCGCAGCCTGTGCTCTGCAGCAGAGCTCTGCACACTGAGATGCTCACACAGTCCCGGGCTGCTGTAAACAGGCTTCTTTCAACGCAGAGGGCCCAGGTCTGGGCCTGAGGGTGGGTCTGCCCTTGTGGCAAGCTCCCACGGGGAGGCCCCAGCTTGCTGCAGCTGCTCTGAGCAGCGCGGGGTTCTGGCATCCTGCAGAGTCTGGCTTCTGTCCCACTCCACCGAGCCTGGAGTCCTGTCACTGGTGAGTCACACTTTGCACTTACCTGCCAGCGCCTGCTGCTACAGAGATAATGGGGGCCAGGAAACGGCCAGAACCCATTCCCTCAGCTGGCCCCGGGGGCACGTTAGCTTCTACCCCTGTGCCTAGACCCAGAAATGTTGGACCCAGCACAAGGCCACGCCCTGAGGACCCGCAACCTTCACAGGTACAGAAGAGAGAATTTTGAAAGAGATGAGCGATACTGAGAAGACGGAGCCCGCACCAGCATAGATAGGGGCACACAGATAGAATCTGTTCCAGTTCAGAGCCAAAACGATGGCAGTTTACAGAGAAGGGAGCCCTGAGCTTCAGAAGATGGTTATCTCCAAAATGAAAGACTCGACACTCCGGAAAGACCTGACTACCTACACGTAGCTACGTTTGGCAACCATTAAATAAATTTATCTTGAATGGGCCAGTGAGATGGCTCAGTGCTTGCCATCAAGCCTGACAACCTGAGTTCAATCCCCAGGCCACATACGGCAGAAGAAGCAACTCCTGTAAGTTATCCTCAGGCCTACATATATGTGCTACCTTTTAAATTTTATTTATGTATGTGTGTATATGAATGCACACACCATGGCACAAATGTGGAGGTCAGAGGACAACTTGGGGAGGTTGTTCTTCCACACCTTCCACTGTGCGGGATCCAGGGGTGTCAGTCTAGATGAAAGAGACCAAACAGATGCTCTAATGTTACATGGCTTGGGGGTTATAGAGCTAGCATGCATGCTAAGGCAGGTGGGCCCCAAAGCACCAAGTACTCTGCTGGAAGGAAGTTTGAAGAAGAAAACGGTCACAGCTAGACTTTTGGGAGAAAGCTGTCTGGTGCTGATCTGTAAGGCCTGTTGGATTACCTTTCACAATTTCATAATAGCTAGCCAGTTTTAGACACGTGTGGAGCAGGCACTGATGGTAAGTGTTGCTATGTGGACCAAGTCACCCACTTTTGACTTATTAACTCTAACCCAACAGGAATTCTTACTATCCATGTCTTACTGAAACCGAAGTCCAGGGAGGCGACATGACTGACTGATCTAAGAGTTACAAGGGAGCTGAGACAGCCTGATCTCCTAAGCCCTTTGCTTATCTCTGTTGCCAGGGTTAAAAAACAACAGTGGTTCACATTATCTCGAAAAGAATCCAGCAAAAAATATTCCGTGACAATAAAAGATTAAAAAGCCCAAGTGGTAAAAACTTGGGGAAGTCTTGTAAAAACTACACAGGGAGTTTTTAAAAAATATTTTGAAAGATGGCTTTATTTATCATGTATAAAGTGTTCTGCCTGCATGTACACCTGCACGACAGAAGAGAGAACCAGATATCATTACAGATGATTGTGAGCCACCATGTGGTTGCTGGGAATTGAACTCAGGGCCTTTAGAAGAGCAGCTAGTACTCTTAACATCTGAGCCATCTCTCCAGCCCCACAAAGGCAGTTTTAAGGGTCCAAATAATTCATCTATATCTAAACCTAAAAGTTTATTAAAAGAGGGAGGAAATAAATTATGAACTCAACTTAGCTAAATAGCAAAGAACTAAAGAATACTATTTCATTTTAAAAATGCTGACAAGTAGGCAATATAGGCCTGGGGATGCTTTTTTTTTTATTTTATTTTTTTCTTATCAGTTACATTTTATTAACTCTGTATCCCAGCCGTGTCCCGATCCCTCATTCCCTCCCAGTCCCTCCCTCCCTCCCTCCCTCATCTCCACCGTGCCCCTTGCCAAGTCCACTGATAGGGGGACCTCCTCCCCATTCATCTGATCCTGTTTTATCAGGTATCTTCAGGACTGCCTGCAAAGCTCTCCTCTGTGGCCTAACAGGACTGCTCATCCCTTGGGGGGTGGGGAGGCCAAAGAGCCAGTCATTGAGTTCCTGTTAGAAATAGTCCTTGTTCCCCTCACTATGGGAAACCAATTGGTTACTGAGCTACCACAGGCTTCATCTGAGCAGGGGTTCTAGGTTACATTCATACATGGTCTTTGGTTGCATGTCAGTCTCAGAAAAGACCCTGTGCTGGGGATGCTTTTTAAAAATTAATTATTGTTGCTATGAGACTGGGGCATGTTTCTATGGTAGAATTCCTGCTCTAGTACGTGAGGCCCTAGGTTCAATTGCCAACATAAAAAAATATTGTTGTTCTGATTAAATACTTTATTTAGTGGTGCTATAAACTTTAAAAGAAAATGAAGTTGTTTTAAAAGGTAAACAATGAAGGTTTCCATTTTTTTGGTAATAATATCAGCTAACAGATTCCAACTTGGTTGTGTCTTAGCCTACTCCAGGTATATACACTAACGTTCATGTCACTATGCTGTGACTTCTGGAAAGCTCTTTCTCTTGGCTTCTGAGATAGTTTGCCATGATCTAGTAGGTTTTTATAGTCTTTTCACATCTTTTTAATCCCAGCACTCATGGAGGATGAGGCAGGAGGATTGCAAGATAAAGGGAAGTTGGACTACATAGCAACACTATTTCAAAACACGCACGCACACACACTCAACTGCAGCTGGAGAGATGTCTTTATGGGTAGAGCACTTGCTATCAGAAGATAAGGACTTGAATTCAAATCCCCGGCACCTATACAAAGCCAGATACAGATGTAGTGACAGAGGTCTCAGCAGAAGCTGCCTAGCTTGCGGTCTGTGGGCTTTTTGCTACTATTTGTGCACTTAGGCCTCCTCTGCAACCACGCTCCACTAGACCATAAATCAGGCCAAGAAGCACCCAAGCTTGATTTCCCTATTTGTATTTTTTAGAGCTAGAGGTACTGGAGCAGCACAATGTGTGATACATCTGGCATTGTTCAATCCAGGTGTCAATTGGAGCAAACTGGATTCCCGTGAGCAATATAAGTTCTCCTTGGTGAATGTGGACTGTAGCAAACTGAAGAAGGTCCCAACTTCCAAACTGCTGAAATTAAGAGCCTTTCAGAAGCCACTTAACCAAGAAATATTGATCATCTGAATACTTAATACTATGTTGATTCTTTGAAGTTTATTATATTGATCAGTAAATCTTTGAAAATAGAAGAGACAGACAGACAGACAGACAGACACACACACACATAAACACACACACACACACACAGTGCTTATCTCAAATAAATTAGAAGATGGGGATCAACACCCAACACCCAAAGAAGTCATCGTCTGGCTTCCATTAAAGCCCTGGCACATGCACAACTTCATTTACACCCCCCCCACACACACACACAGTGAAACCACTCTATAAATCTTGTATGTGGCCAGGCACACTAGCGCATGCCTGTAATTCCAGCACTCAGGGAGGCAGATGCAGGTAGATCTCTGTGAGTTCAAGGCCAGCCTGGTCTACAAAGTGAGTCCAGGAAGTCAAGGCTACACAGAGAAATCCTATCTCAAGAAACAACAAAACAAAACAAAGTCTTGTATGTGTTCTTCCCAGACTCAGAATGCTTAAAGACCGTACTTATTAGCTCCAAAAGAAATTATCTATGGCCTCCCAAGTAATGGAGAAGATTGATTAAAAAAAAAAAAAACTAATGAGAGAAAAAAAATTACATCAAACAAAAGGACAGGGAATTATTTAAAGTAAAGGGATAAAACATAATGAACTCAATATAGTAGTTTTGATAAATTTAAATGGATTTATATTTAAAAGTAAATATTAAAAATTTTAAATATATTTAAAAATATATTTAAAAATAAATTTAAAGCCTTACAGAGTACATTAGAAAGGTCAATTCTCTGGTATTTGAAAGAATGACACTGTCACACAATGGCCAATGTAAAAGACTGGGAAAATATACAAAACAGATGAAAATTATTCAAAACCAAAGGTCACAATACTTAAGCTGGTAGAATTTGAGACCAAAACAACCTGAATAAAATAGCAATGAAATGTACAAAGACAAAATATGACGGGGATTCAGTTAATAATATGGTGTGTCTGCCTTTTCAAATAGCTTCCTTGAAAGAAACCCATCTAGCAGACAATATGCCTTTTTTTCTTGGTTGGCCACACAGCATTTAAAAGGAACTGAATTTAGTTGCTCCAGCAGTGTATTTCAACAGGCTTCAGGGCAGCAGGTGTAGCTTGGTGACAGAGCTCCTGCTTAGCATACACGAGGTTAAATCTTTGCACCAAAAAGTCAGAATAATACGCCCCCCACCCCAAACTCCACATTCACAACCCTTCAAATATCTCTGCAAGGAAAAGACACACTATGGTAAGAAAGTCGGGCTAGGCATCATAGCAGAAGACTTCCAGCAGAGGGGTTGGGAGGGGGCCAGATGTGGGCTCTTCACAGGCTCGCTCTCTGTAAAGGCCAGGCCAGATTTCTTCTGGATTAGGTTGAGCCGACGTGTGGAAAGGATCCTTTAGAAAAATGGAAGATTCAGACAAAGGCTTTGCTGAGGTGGTTTTATGTGTTGCTGGTCATATAGGCAGATACCTGCTGTGGAAGCAGCAGATCTCTGAGGAAGGAGAGGCAAGTGGAGACCACGCTGACAAGCTGGGCTGAACCACCCCGAACATCTCTGGACTCCTGGTTACACAGAGACACTCTTAATCAATACACTTCATGCTTTGACTAGGAGAGTCAAGCAGCAGCTTCTGCTGAACAAGCTAATGCAGATTGGCTGTGATTAACGGTACAACACGAGAGCAGAGCACTGTATCGCAATCATCTCCCAAAGGCTGAAATTATCTCTATTCTTGAATCATGACCAAAGGTCGGGGGGGGGGCAAACCTTGAATAAATATGATGAATAAAAAGTAATAGAAATGCGAATGAAAACAAGGTCCTTTTTTCTCCCCACAATATAAGACTGATGAAGGAAAATAAGAGTGTTGATCACCAGTGTGAAGAAGGATATAGGGAAACTAGGTAGTTTTATTTTCTCTCCTTCCATTGTGTGGGTCCTGGGACTCTTAACTCAGGTTGTCAGGTTTGGTGCAAGCATCTTTACTCCCTGAGCCACTTATTTCATAGCCTTTTTATTATTATTATTTGGTTTTGAGACAGGAGCTCCTGTAGACCAGGCTGGTCTCTAAGTAGCTATGTAGCTTAAGCTGGTTTTGAACTCCTGGCCCTCCTGCTTCCACCTCTTGAATGTTAGGATTATAGGTATGTATCACCACTAATCTTTAGATTCTGCCATCTCTACAACCCGCTGGGCCTTTTATAATTTTAATTTACAGTTCATTATATGTCCCGATTGAAGCCTCCTCCCAAAACTTGTATTATTTATTGATTATGTATACAATGTTCTGTCTGCATGTACGCTGCAGGCCAGAAGAGGGCACCAGATCTCACTATAGATGGTGGAGAGCCACCCTGTATTTGCTGGGAATTGAACTCAGGACCTCTGGAAGAGCAGCCAGTGCTCTTAACCCCTGAGCCATCTCTCTAGCTGCCTATGTGCCTATGCGTATCTTAGTAACATTCATAGAATGGACGAATTACCCTAGTCAAGATGTCCATTTGTCCTGTCATTTCAACACGAAGGTCTTGTTCTTTCTTTTGTTCACTGCTTCAAATTTTACACTTGTGATGCTCCCTATACTCATAAAGTTAATAAAACATTTCTTCCCTCCTCTTGTTAATCAGCACTTAAATATTAATTGGGCTTTTGGCTGCAGCCAAAGAGTTCCCATAATAACTCAAGAGGACAAAAGAAACCCTCCTTTCATCACACATGAAGGCAGGAACCACAAAACACATCTTTGGCAAGTTCAGCTAAAGAAAGCCCATGTCCAAGCACATGCCCTCTCCCATGGGTGTGGACAGATGGAAATATCAGTCTCTGAGGAAATCTCAGCTCAACCCCAGTGCCCAAAGCAGAGTGGTTCTTAGGCATGTCCACAGAAAACTACCAGATGGGAAACAAAGTCTTTGGAGATAAAATATCGTATGAACTTCAAAGAATCACCATAGAGTAAACTGTGATTCCAGTGACTGGAAGTGGAGGCAGAGGGTCAGGAGTGCTCAGAATCATTGTTGGCTGCAAAGTGAGTTCAAGTCTAGTTTGTGCTACATGACATTTTTTTGCTAAAACAAAACAAAACAAAACAAAACAAAACAAACCCCCCCACAAAACTCAACGTTACTTATCATTTCATTCTACTTACAATACACCAAAGTTGTTGGGGAAACTGGAGAAGAGGGAACCTCTTGCAAACCATTGGAGATAATATAAATTTCCACAGCTGTTATGGAAAACAGTGTGGGGGCCTCAACTATTAACTACCATAGGATGGCACAGTCCCACTTCTGAGTGTGTATCTAAAGGAAATGAAATCACTATGTTGAAGAGACCTCTGCATTGCTGTGTTTATCATAGTATTATCCACAGTAAGCAGTAAACAGAAAGAACCAAAAAGGTCCGTTAAGTTTTCATATACACCTTGGCCATTTGAATAACGAATAAATAAAAGCAACATGTTACAGTCATGGGTAATAAAAAGGATGAAATCCTGCCATATGCAACATGGTTAAATATGGATGTCATTTTGTCAAGTGAAATAAGCTAGTCACAGAGAGACAAACAGCATGTAATCAACTCTAGTTCTAGGGATCTGGTGGCTTCTTCTGGATTCTGAGGGCACTACATACAGGAGGCATGTGTACATACACATGCACACACATATTGAATAAAAACAAGTCTTTAAAATGTAAACAATACAAATTATAATTTAGATTAGAAACCCACAATAATGCTATAAGCATCAAAAAGTTGGAGAATTAGGAGATAAGTTTAAAAAATATCAACAGTCTTTTTTTTAACATTTATTCTCTCTCTCTCTCTCTCTCTCTCTCTCTCTCTCTCTCTCTCTGTGTGTGTGTGTGTGTGTGTATGCACACACAGGAAGCATGCCAGAGAGAACAACTTCTTTCTTTATATTATGTGAGTGCCAAGAGACAGAACTCAGGCTGTCAGGCTTGGTGCAAGCACCTTTACCTCTGAGACACTAGTCTTCATGCACAGAAACCAAAAAGGTCCAAAGTAGGATAAATAAAAGTTAATTTAGACTCAGCATGATAAAACTTCAGAACATCAAAATCAAGTAGACTTTCAATGTAGTGACAGCTGGCAGACAATGAAACAGTATTCTTGAAGCAATAAAAGAAAGACCTGTAGCCCTCGACACTACTCTATACACTAAGTAAGCTTTTTTAAATGCTGGAGCAATAAAGATATTTTCCTCCATAACCAGCTATCATTAAAAGAATTTTAATTTGTGGGTGCATGAGTGCATGCTCAGGAGCACGTGTGCACGTGGAGGCCAGAGGCCAATGTCACGTATTTCCTTCAATGGTTCATCACCTTAGTTTATGAGACAGGGTCTCTGTCTGGACCCAGAACTCACTGATTTATGTAGACTGGCTGGCTGGCAATTATCAAGAGTTCCCCTGTCTCTGTTTCTCCAGCTCTGGGGTTCCAGGGACATGCTAATTCACCTGACTTTTTTTTTTTATGTCGGTGCTAGGGATGCAGCTAGGGCTCATGCCTACATAGCAAACACTTTTTTTCCCCCAAAAAACACACTCCTGAAGGATAAAAAAAAGCAATTCTAGAAGGAGCTTCTAGGCTGTAAGAAGGAATAGTAATCAATAGCTAACACAGGAAGTACTTGCCTAGAAAATGAAAGGATATATAATCAGAAAGAAAAAAAGCAACCCATTTGTATAGCCAGCCAGTCACTGTAGAGCCTACCAAAAAGTTACTAGAACCACTATATGGGTTTAATCAAGGTCGCAGGATATGAGGTCAATACATTAAAAAAAATCAATTGTATTTGTATACAATAGTATCAAATGATTGGAAATTGAATTTTAAAACAGTAATGTTGGCAATAGCACTAGAAATACCAAATCACTAGACATAATCCTTACAAAAGATGTACAAGGTCTGGAGGCTCAACACAATAAAACTTCAATGAAAAAACTTCAAAGATGGCCAGAGTAAATACGATGTGTTCCT